TCTCTCTCTCTCTCCTGCTCTTTCACTCTCTGATCATCACTTGGACTCAGAAGCAACACCCAGTCTGTTAGCTTGGCACAGGCAAAGATGGTCGTTGCCCAGAAATTCGAGGGCTGCACTAATTTTGCCAGTGGTTTTGTTGTGTGTGTGTGTGTGTGTGTGTGTGTGTGTGTGTGTGTTGTTGTGTGTGTGTTGTGTGTGTGTGTGTGTGTGGTGTGTGTGTGTGTGTTGTGTGTTGTGTGTGTGTGTGTGTGTGTGTGTGTGTGTGTGTGTGTGTGTGTGTGTGTGTGTGTGTGTGTCATGAAAAAGTGAACAAGCCTGAACTTAGATAAGGATCACGCTGTGACAATCTTAGTGATGTGTCGCAGAAGAAGCGCCGTGAGGCCTGTTATTGACCGCTCTCGCCGTCTGCCGATGGGTTTTCTTAGAAACTCACACTTACATTTCTTTAATAGAGCTTTGCCATGGATGGCGGGACACTTGTGCGTCATGCTCTGTTCAAGGGAACAGAGCAAAGATGCTAACAGTCACGATTTACAAACTGCTAATAATGTTGTGTTCATTGTAACTTATTGCTTGTAGTCCCAGCTGTGCATACAAATTAAGACTTGGCTGGTGGTCCTATGAAGCTCCAATGCTCATTACATACCAAGAAGAAAAGTTTAATAACGAGGAAAGTGTATGTCGTTACCTAGCTCAAATACACCGTCCAGTGGCTGGACGTCACAGACTCGGCTTATGAAGCTCAGCTCTTCTGTGATGAGTCTAAACTGGACTTGGTCGTTTGACTGTGGCTTAGCTGTACCTTCGGAAGGATGCCAATGTCAGCATAACGTAAGGATATGTGTTAACATAACTATTTTAGCACATAATCTTCTTAGTTGGCTAACACACAAATCAGCATCCACTCCATGTTGTTTTTGTTTGTCAGCATCCCTTTATGTTGGATTGATCTGGAGTTGTGGAGCGTTTAAACATTTTTTGTCAGGGATTAAAGAACACAATCATTTCATTTAATACTGGTTGTGACAAGATGACAAATAAAATAATCACCTTTTTCCCAGCAATTATTTTGTAACACTAGCTGTCACATTTATCAAATGGTGGATGGAGGTAGGACCAATAGTTCTGGGTTATCACCTGCATGTTTGATGTTTTCATGGATGCTGCCATGCTGTAATTATATTTTAGTGACATTAATTCCTGACTTTATCCTAAATTCACCACTTTCTGCCCCACGCTTTACTGACATTTTAGTGATGCCGCATATCCAATATGTCACCAGAAACTGTCCATAACACCACCAGACTTGTTTTCACTTTTTGTGCCGTTTAAAAGGATTAGCAGTGACACACGGGTGGTCTGCTGAATTGAATTAGCTGAATCCTTGACATTTTGAAGTTGTCTTTTCTAACCACAGAATCCCGTCAAAGCCTCTTTATCGATGGCGTCGGGCTCACAAGACGAGGCGGGCCTAACTGTGCCTGGAATATAAGATTATTAAATGCCCCGGTGTCACGGTTAATACTCTGTCTCGTCTTCAAAGTTTTCCCATTCAGTCATAAATCTTGCTGTGTGTTTGTGTGTGTGTGACAAGGAGAGTTTGGCTGTCTTTTAAGGGGCTGTTAATGAAAGTTAGTGGTGTGGAGAGAGAAAGTGTCAACCGTCTCTCGCCGTGATAGATCACTCCTGCTCTTAGCATTAACAGGGAGCCGTCACTCCGAGCATTTCAGGCGGCCGCAGTTAAATTAATCAGGTAATGGACCTTAGTCTCCAAGCACCCCCACCCCTCGCCATCCTTACTGCGGTTTCTCCTCCCCATTCTCATCTCTTAGTTTTCCTCAGTTTGTCTTTTACAGTCTGCAGCATCAGTATCTGTTGTTGTTCGTGGGTTTCTACGTGTCAGGACATTTCAGGAGACAGGAGGAAGATATTTAATGCATATTTTTCACTGTTGAACAATCTCCTTCACTTAATCAGTGGTTCTGGGAGAGGTTCAGAGTTCTTCAAGTGGTATTCCACTAGGAGCTATTTTGAATTGTAGAGTGAACAATGGAAACTTGGGAGCAGCTTATTGCGTCATTGGCATAACAAATCGTAAATACTCTTGGGTCGCCACGGATACATTTAATGTAAATGCAAATTTTAATCAAAGACCCTATATCATAGCTACTGCACATTATCTGTGGAATGCATAATTAAAACTCCCTTTTGGTCTCGGTCTGTCTATTCAATGCGACAAAGGTCCGCAGCCAGGGTTGAATCAGAGGTGTTGCCATTATAAGGCCAGTGTCATTGACCCCGTGGCTACCTTGACTTTTCTTTAAACATCATTTTAAAAATAAAAAGTTTTTTTTTTTTTTATGGAATTAGTCATTTTGTTAGTTATTGGATAAACTTCACACAGATTTACCCAGTACGCCAAATCACCAGCATGATGGAAAACCAGATTGAGGAGTAGCCATCTAATTGTCCGCCTTGTCTATATTTGTGAGAACCCCACATGGCGGGCAACAAAAAGACCAGATGCTGAACCTCTGGGTAGCATCTGTGTGCCACATGCACTGGATGTGTATTCACTCTTCTCGATTCACATTGATGCCAAAGCGAAGCAGGACATGTTCTGAGAGTGCAGGCGTATTCCTGTTGTGTTTTTGGCTTTAGTCCACTGCGCCACCAGGATTCTGCAAGGCAGAGAATTTGTTCCACTCCCTTGTCAGGAATATTTTATCACTTTAACAGATAGATCTGAAGTTGTCTATGGCATAAACCTGTTCATTTTTGCTGTAGACATTTTCAGGTTTTCTGGTTATGGAAGAAATGCAACACAGTCAGCGATGAATGTAGGAAAATCATGGAATATCACAGCCAGTTTTCTGGACTTTCTCTTCATTATTAGCATCCTTTCTTTCATTTTCACCTTCTTCCCCTTTTCGTCTTTGTCACAGACAATATTGCACAATTCTTTTAGATTTCCTTTCATTTTTAATTCCGACACATTTTTCTTTCACTCTCCCATTAATTTTTTTTCTCTCACCTTTATTCTCATTCAGTGTTGTTTTCCTTTTTTCTTTTCTATTTTGTTTCCTAGTGTTTCTCCCACTCCTACACACTCACGCCACTGGGTTTTCTCTACAGATTCATGAGCTTGTTTTGTTCTTTCTTCCTGTGTTTCTCTCATTGATTTTACTTTCTTTCCCTTGTTCTCAATTCTCTTTCTTCTGTATTGCTTTTACATGCACACGTTCACACACCGCTCATTTCAGTGTGTCGTTCTTCTTTTCCTCCCTCTTTCTTTCTCCTGTCTGGGCAATTTACACTGTTAGTCTTTAATTCTTAAACACACTCACGCTCTGCTTTCGGGATTTTCACTTCTTTGTTTTGTGTTTGATCCTGTGACTTTTTCTTTCCTTCACTTTCTTAACTTTCTCTTTTTTCACTTTACTCCGTCTCCCCCTTTCTTCTGTCACTTTCACACACAGACACACACACTTCTTGAGATTGTCTTTGTATTCTTCTGTCTAGTTTAGTTTTCAGTCCTAATGTTTCATGCATTGAGTTTCTCCTGCACGTGTTCATTTTTTTCTCTCTTGTTCACCGTCTTCTGTTTCTTTCATTAACACGCACACACCTCTTTGGCTTCTCTCAGCGTTTGTCTCTTTAGAAGTCGTAGATATTCTCTGCAGACCAATTTCCCTGTGAATAATCACGGAGGATCATTGTGGAAGCGAGCGCGGTGCCAAAGTCATTTCTTCAACAGGCTGCAGCTTTATACTGAGTCAATCAAGCTGAAATATCTCTGCAATGGCTCCTATTTCGTTAAGCGTACCTCCCTCCCCATGAATATAATTACCGAGATGGGCCTCGTCCGCGCCGTCTTCGTTTACCACTCCCCAACTTTAAACGAACTGAATTGGGTTTGAACTTGTGAGAAGTACTTTTCAAATGGTTCATTTGAGGGCTTGATCGACTATTATGCCTGTTGGGCGTTTTTGTGATCACAGACGTACCAACATTTTCAGCCAGATCAGTTGACTTTGAGTTACTGTTAAGGCTCTGGAGGGCAGCGATAGTAGAGAGAGAAATATCACATATTTTATGATGGTACCTGCTGCTTCACAATAGATGGATGTCTTAGTTTTAAATAATTTAAAAGATTTCCTTGAAATGGTTCCATGACCTTCGCATTTCCATCCAGTCTCTGATCCATTTCATCAGCCTGGGAGAAAATTGATCTGCTCATGCAACAACACCAGTGACTGAAATGATTTGATTACAACAGCTAAAACAAAGAAATAACAATTATTATTATTTTGGTTAAGCCTTAATACCCATAAATATACCAATAGATATTAATTGTGCCTCTTTTTGTATTCCAGGTTTGGGAAGCACCGTAAGGATGAGCGGCCGGGGGAAAAGATGGATCGTAAAGGCTCCAGCAAGTGGAGGCTAGACGAAACGCAGGTTTCAGAGGAGGAGACGATGAAGATGAGGATGGAGCAGGAGAGGTAAGGTCTTCAAAATGTAGCACCTGCTAAATGCTGCTAAATGCTGCTAAATGTAGTTTTTCTGCTAAGTGCTGCAGTGGTAAAGGTCCTTTTATCTCTGGACTCTCTGGTGTTTTGCTACTTTGGGATCAAATATCAAAGAGAGGAAAAATTGTCATAACTTTGCAGCTCTGCCGGGATATATGAATCAAAGTGTTTTTAAGCTAAAAAATGCCATGTTTTGAATAGCCTTGATCCTAATTACAAAGTGCAAATCCAAATTAAAGCTTCTAGGTCATCTCCCCTTGTTTGCCCCGTTCAGCTTTCCTTCTGTCTGCTCATTGAAGTTAAAGTGCTAAAGTTACTGGACTACAAAATGAATTTTGGCTCCGGCTTGGTGTTATATAAATAGAGCTGCATTAAGTCCTCTAGCACCGCTCCTTGCTTTGATAAACATATCTAGTTTGTGTCACACATTCTCATGTTTTTCTCTGCGTATGAGTTCATATACGCTACTGTATGTGATCCAATATGTATGGGCTGTAACGACCTCTACTCTTATGAGAAGGCTTTCCACAAGGTTTTTGAACCTGGTTGCAGAGCCATTCAGCCACAGGGGCATTAGTGAGGTCCAGCAGTCAGCATTCCAGTAAATCCCAAAGATGTTGGATGGGGTTAAGTCAAGTTCTTCCACACTAAAGTAAAACTAAACCTTCCTTCATGGACCTCAGTTTGTGCTCCGGGGGATTGCCATGGTTAAATACAACAAGGGAAGCACACTATTGTCTATCACTCTATGCTGTAACATAAAAATTCCATCAGTTTAAAATAAGGGGACTGGCCTGAACCATGAAAACAGCCGTGACCAAAAGTACACAAAAGCATGTGGACAGAGGTGTCCTGCCTGACCGCAGATTTTACTTCTGCAGCATGATGAGCCCAATGGAGGATTAAATGGAAACAAGTGGTCTTGGAAGTCCTGACCACAGTTCAAGAAGTGTTTTCACTCTTGCTTAATAGTCAGACTGAAGGAATTCCCTCTGACATTTTATAGACTAAACACAGTGGATATGCTCTACTATGTAAATAAATGCTGTTTTGCAAAAGCATTCTGATTTATCAATGGTTTAATAAATCAAGAATTTGTGTATTTAAAAAATGAGTGGCTGGTCTTTAACTGTTATCGAGTGAGCGCCTAAAACCAAACAGCCCCAAGACAGCAAGTCTGTTTGTCACTGCATTACTCTCTCCCTCTCTTCACCAAACTAAATGTCAGTCGGGCACTGTGCCAGTTCTATGGGGCGGCGGTTTATAAATGCCACGGCCGTTACAGCCCTGCCAGCTAATTAATTCCCATGCTCTTGGTGTAAGGGCAAGAGCCATTTCTTCCCTCAGTTGCTCGTTATGAAAATTTGGTTTGTAATTATTTCTTTACGCCTGCAGAGCAGATAGTCCAATAATATGATAATTGCCAAGTCTTTATTTTTAATTGGCATAACGTTAACGCAAATGCCATGTCAGATGATTTGGTTGTTATGGTGGATATCGTTAAAAGTTCAGAATGGTTCTTTTGTATGTTAATCCAATCCGTTGCTTCTCTGTTTTTTCTTGTTCTCAAATATCGAAGTCACATGCATTAATTAGCACAATGGAGTTTCAACGAATTTGGACAACTGAAGCCTATTCAGGACTGCTTAGTGGTATTTTAAAAACACAGATATACAGGTGACACAGATAACATGCACCCTTTTAAGATTTACAGTTAGGTCACATACAGTGCATAACCCCGATGTATTTAGCTGTATATTTGGTTGTTACATTTTCCTTTTATTTCTTTGTGTGTCCTACAAGATGAAACTTTACAATCTTGTAGGATTGGGAATGTAGGGTTTATCATTGACTTAAAAATCTATTAATCCAGATTTAATTGAATGCTTCATGAAGCCACTACATACTACTGTATGTGATCTAACACTCTTTGTAAGAGGTAAGGCTGCCTCTCATTACAAGTAGAAGTTGAAGTAGATGCAGTGTTTCCACCAATCAGATTTCTCTTTGTGGCAGAGCCTCTGCAGTACCTGAGAGGTGTTAGTTATTTGTTCTTTTGTTTGTTAGTGTGTAATGGTTTTGCCATGTGGGGTGCAAGAAAGAGCTATGGGAAATTAGGCAAAATGGTATATGAGGGAAAAAACCCAGCCAAATTAAGGTAGGGTGCATTCACAGAGCACAAACTGCCTTGGGATTGTTCACAGTAGTTCTTAAGTCAATGCATTAATTATTTTGTTCAGCATTTGGTGTTTGACTCACTCCACCCAAGCATACCTCCTCCTTAAGCACCTGCACAAGCATGCTTCTTGTTTGTATTTAACCACGAGCTGAAATACACTGATATTGACGGCGAGATCCCACAGAGGATGTGGGAGACTGTGGCTGTTTCGGTGGTAAACAATGATCCATTTAGCTGTGTTTCACCAAGCTGCTCTCCCAGTGTTCAGTTGGGAGCTTTGGCACCTTAATGCAGCGCGCCTATTGATTGGCCACAGCCAGAGGCTATGGTTAATCCAGCTGTGATTGACTAGATGAATGGATTTCCTCACTGTTCTAAGTCTCAAGTCCCAGTGGACTCCAACTCCAAGCCAGACAAACAAATCTAGACAGACAGCTCAGTCAGTACAGTCATGTTTGTGGTGGAAAATCGTTTCCAGAGCGGATGAACATGAACATGAACATGTGGAAATAATTGATCATTGTTCATATTACAATGTTTGGCCTGAATCAGATCAGATTTCATTGATAAGAAACATTCACAACAATTTGAAAAGTTTAGTTTTGACTACGTTGGGATGCACCAGAGCTAGACTTTGGATTTTCTTGATTATAACTGAGGCACTGGCCGATACTGATGCATTTAAGGTTGATGGATCCCTGAAAAGGCCATATTGATAATCTTACTCCAGTTAAAAGATCTAAAACCTTCCTTTGCTTTGTACAATGCAACATAACAGACGCTTCAAGGTATTCTACCTGGCATGATTATTACACCTATTTAATTGACCAGGTACAGAAGGTTACCAGATGACATTGGACTGGACTTTCTTTAGTCTCAACACTGCTTGTGCCTGAATCAGCCATTGTATGACTTCAGTCAGTGTTTTAAGCCAGCAGCCATATGACCAAAGGGTAAAAGTTCAGTCTATACAGCAGGCAGTGTGCTGTATATCATGTAATTGGTTCCACTGACCTTCCCTTGACCTAGCTTTCTAACTCAGGGAGGATTAACAGTATCAGCTCAAGTCTTGCATTTCTGTATCATTTATGAGGCACAGATAAATGAGAGATTCTTAAGAACGTCCAGATTTATGTGTACAATATGTCCTGGACCCTCTATGTAACTGCTTTGGCCTAATATGAATGATTTGCTGCATTCCCCTTCCACAGCAAGTGCTTCAGAACGGGCTAAAGCTACTTGTCGCCAAATCATGAAACATTTGTAGATTTGTTATCAATCCAAAAAGACTTTCAGCAGCCATCTTATCCCACTGGACCTTCTCTTTTCATATACTTCCTGCCTTTCACTGTGGTCTATCAGTTGTGTCAGCATTACCGCTAAGAGGAAGGTTTATTACACAGTGGGTACAATAGCACATAATGGACCATTGTTCTGGCTTGATGTGGTAGAAAGGTCACTCGTCAAACACATTTCTTCTACCATAATGTCCCATCCTGCCATTTCTATACCCTTTTATCTGCTGTCTCTCCCTCTATTTCTGCTATGCACGGTTTTTGTTCAACCTCGGTCTCTCTACCTACTTCTCTCGTTCCTTTTTTTAATCATTTACCCTTCATGCTGGAAGTATTTTCATCTCTCGTCAAGGTTAGTCAGTAGAAAGAAAACAGGGTTTTCCTTACATAAATATTTTGGGACTGAAAGGGTAATGATTAGGTCAAGTGTGGTTTTCCTTCCTGCCCCATTTCAATCAACGTAATTGTATTTGTACAATTGTACAATTTTAGCAACATTGCTTTTTAAGTGCTTGTCATGTTGACACAGATAGGAATATTCCACTGCACACTTCCTCCCTGCAGACTTTAAAAAGACTTGTGAATGTGCTTCTACACTGTCCTTATCAAAAAATATCTAAAAACGTATGTTTGTGCAGGAAATGAATGATAAAATGTAGATGGATAAACATGCTAGTGATAAATGGATATGATCAAAAATATTTTGGTATCTTAATTTTTCTTGGTTTTAATGATTATAATTAACTGTGAAATATTTTTTTTATCTCAGTATTAAAAACCTGGAGTGCAGACAAGATTTGTTGATCAACTGAAAATGAATCTGCCACAATTTCTATAATCTATTGTCACCTATCAAGCAAAAATCTGAAGACTTCCTGCCTTTCTTAATTTTTTATCATCGGAAATGAAATATGTTTGGTTGAGCAATTGGAAGACGTTACCTTGGACTGAGGGAAAGTGAGGTGTTTTTTCACTATTTTCTGACATTTTGTAGACAGCATATACATACACTGTATATACACACCACAACTGGTTCAAAACTGCATCCTTCCTCACTCAGAAACTGGCCCTGTTGACCCGTCCAGTGCCTCGGTATGGGAAGGGGCTGCACGGAGAAGGCCAGGCGCTGGATTGGTATGTCTGGCCTTATCTTATCAGCCACTGTGCTTGTGTATACAATCAGTAGCTGCTCCCACTCCTGCTGCTGCTGCTGCTGCTTTCTCTGATGGAAAACACTGTTTCCTCTGGGTTTAAAGATAGATCTCTCAAGGGCCCTGCTTCCTTCTGCGCTATTAGATAATTGCTGAGTTCACAAATAGTACAGACACAGCTTGCAAGTCCACAGGCTTTCATCTGACATGGGTTAAGTTGTAGGAATAAGTACACATTTTGCTAAAAAAGATTGTTCCAGATTCAACAGGGGGCTGTTAAAGCCATTAAGTTCATTACCAGCCTCCTTTTTAGTTGTAAAGTATTTCCACACATTTCCCGTTTTTTTTTTGGTAAATCCACGTTTTGTACCTACCCTTCAATGGGGAGCCCTTATTAGACTTATTGTTTCATTATGCACAGCATGCAAATTTTCTGGAGGAAGCATTTCAGATTTTAGCCCGCTGAGTGTTCAGTGAAGTTGCACCCCCTACCTCGTCACCACTACGGCTGTCCCATTCGCTTTCCCACTGCCATTAAAAAGGGGCCTGGAGAAAAGAGAGCAGTATGATAATTGGTAGTTGTAAAGCTCTGATAATTGGCAAGGCTGTAATTACGGGGCTGCGTGATAGGTAGTCCCCCTGCTGTAGAAAATGGTGTTGCCAGTTATTCACAAGATAATGGCCTAAAGAGAGAGAGTGCATGTGTGATTTCTGTGTTTGAGTTGTTCTGTATGTGAGACAGAGAGGTGTCAAAGGTGTGTGTGAGAGAAAGTCGGTGAGAGAGAGAGAGAGAGACACAACATGGTAGCTATACATGTGCTATACAGCACTCTGTGAATACAAAATGCTGCACTTGTATGAGATGTTGTGGGGGCGAGAGACTATTTTACATTGTTTATGGTATTATTCAGTGGGGGGAAAAAAAGCATAAATAATAGACCACATCTTCTCTCTCTTCTGTAATGGAAAGTTAAAAAGGCCCAATAAACAATGCAGATGTTGCAATGTGACACCTGAGATTTACAGCGTCTCTCAGCTCCACAGTGTATACACTACAATGCCTCAGCAACATAAAGGTTTAACCTGACAAAGTGGAAACCAGTAAGGCGGCAGTTTCAATTTCCCATGGAGCAGTTTTAACCATGATTCATAAAGCATTTCACTGCCATTCATGTATTATATAAGTAAAAAGTTCTGTTCTTCCTGTATCTGTGATTTTGTGAGTTAACAGAGTATAGAGTCAATTACATAGTTAACGGACAGTATTCTCTACAAAATAATTTCTCATAATGCGCATCTACAAATAATTGTAATTACCAAAAACAGTATATCCCTCTACGGCACCAGTGTTTTCTGAACACAATCTAACTCCCAAAACGAACATATGTCATTTGCAATCTTGGGATATCAGCCACTGCATTTTGGGGTTGGACAGTTTAGATTAAAACACTATCATGGCATATATCATTTCATATTGTGATAGAAATATATATAGTGATTTAGTATGTATAATCTATTGGAAATTCGATGGAGAAACCGTTTATTGAAAAAGCAATCAAATTGGAATGTCTGTTCTTAATTCTACAGTGAATGAAATACCTAACAATAGGGCCATGGTGGTCCAAAGCAACCACTTGGACTTAAAAGGTCAGTTTGGCTAAGTGGCTAGCCTACCTTTAGATTTAAACTGAATCCAGTCAATAGCACAAGCTCTTTCATTTTACCAAAATCCTCAGTGACATTAACTCTTGCCTTTTCATTGGGCTTCAGACACTCTATTTCTTTGACTCCAGCAATCGAGGCAGATTTAACTAAATGACACGTTTTCTGCTCAAAAAGATTTGTAAAGCTAAAATACAACACTGTTAGAATATTTACAATAAAGAAAGTCAAGTTTATTCTTCTTTCCATGGTCAGTCAGTATGAATAGAAGTGTAAGCTAAACGTAAATGTCATTGGCTGGACAATAAAGCTTCATTTATTAAACACTAGAAAAGCAGATTTCTACTGTGGTACAAATCGATATATTTGGGATGGCAGTATCCATTAAAACAATAATTAATGCATTACAGCATCAAAACTGAATAGTCATGTACTTATATTTGACCCACCATAGTCTTAGACTGAAATCCTTGATTTTTAGTACCAACATGTCTGTTACAATCTTCAGAATCCAGGCCAAGACCAGGGAGCTGAGGGAGCGTCAGGCCAGGGAACGGGACTATGCCGAAATCCTTGACATCAACCGCACGCCGGAGAGGTCCTCCGAGGAGGAGCACCCGTACGCAGGCATCAACCCGCTAAACAGCTCTGTGGACAGCGGGCACAGCCGGCCCCACAGCCCCCGAGACGATTACCCCCACATCCATCCACACCACCAGCACCAGCACCAGCACTCGGATACCCTGTACACCCAAGTCAGCAAAGCCCGCAACGACAGGCCTCCATCTGCAGACAGGTAGGGGGGGTTTATTTTATAAAAGTCTTACAGCTTGGTGTTTGGGGTCAATCACTGGAACCAGATTTTTTTACAGTTTTGTTCTCTTTTTAATACATTTTTTGAATTCTTACAAACGCTCAATTTGGGTCATATCCTTTAGTTCTTCTGTTTTCCCTTGAAAAATGTATTAATTACTTGCCAACAGTCATGAATTCCATTGGAGTCACAATCCCCCTCAGATGCCATTTCCGCCCAAGCCAGGTGACAGGCTGCCATTCATGGTTCGGCAACCTTTTTACCTCCAATTCAAAGCGCAACCCAACCAGGTATTTCAGTAAAAGGTTTGTCCGGGCCTGATTCTGCCTCACATTCCCAGCTCTCGTAACTCTGAGGCAGCATTATTGCGCAGAGACAGCAGGCAGGCTATCACACCTGGAGGAGAAAATAATCACAGCAACAGAAGGCAGGCAGTAAATGTCAGCTCGCCGACTGCTAGACACAATGCGCCGTTCTCGGGGGGATGTGGGATTACTCTGGGGAGGCAGTGAGTGAATGGAAACCTTTAAATATCCGTCTCTCTTTCTGTCTCCCTTGACCTTTCTACCTCTCTTTCTTTCTGCCTTTCGTTCTCATGTTGATTTCACCTTGTTGCCACCTTTTCACTTTGCTGCATTTCCTCCATTCCTATCCCTTTCTGTGAAGCATTCCTCCTGAGCTACTAACATTTCACACCTTCTATATCCGTGATTGGCGGCTGTCGGTCATTCTAAAATGATCACCCAGTCCTGGCATGGAGATTCTTTCCTCTGCGCAGTCTATCATGTATTTATATACAGCAGCCAAACGGCATTATAAAGCTTACAACCCAAAGCAAAGTCCACTGCAGAGCCAGCCAGCCAAATAAAAGCTAGAATGTTCTAAACGCCTGCACCTTGTCAGCAGCAGCAGCAGCTGCCCTCAGCACTGCGGGTCTGTGCAGAGTTGCTTCCTAATCCTCCCTCGATCGATGACTGGAGAGATTCGTAGCCCCTAAAATGGATTTGGGAAACTTGAAGCCAGTGGAGGAAAGCCTCTAGTGTAGCAGAAACATACAGTAGGCAGTGCAGGCGAGTACATCCACAGCTGAATGAATGGGTTTGTCTTACTCGTGGTTTTCACGCATCCCCAGATGGCCCAAGCAGCATGTGTGTGTACTTCGAGTGCTGTAGCTCGTATTGATTCATAATTCATTGTGCTGCTGTTGTCGCTCTATTTTTTTTTTCTTCTTTTAATCCCTGATGTGGTCCTATGTGGAGGTATGCAGATGCACAACAGAAGATAATATACCAGCATGACAGATTTATTTAATTAGGTGAGGGAATTCACTCATGATTTAGAGTCTAATCTTCATTATATTAAAGTTTATAGCTTTTCACCACATAAGCAGTTTATTTTTCCCCCTCAGCACTCCACTATGAGATTAGTATTTTTGTTGTATACCTCTTTGGGGTGAATAAGTTTTACGAGAAAGCCTCCCCCCTGAAGCCCACAGCAACAAAAGCAGGATAACAGATTAGCGCTGAAATTATTCCGTTTTTGTGATTGTTTAATCGTTGACGTCATTCATCAAGCTAAACTTTTAAGTATTCCCTAGTTCCTGCTTTTTAAATGAGAGAATTTGTCTTTTTTGTCTTTTATGTAATTTAAAATTTTAATTTAGAGGTTTTTGGCTGTTGGTTGGAAAAAGCGAGCAACTGGAAGACATTATCTTTGGCTGTGATGGGCCTCATGACTGCAGTATTTGTTTACAGTTATAGGTAAAATAATCAGTCTGAAAAACGGGTACATTAGGCAACAATTAAGTTTTCAGTAGTTGGTGTCCTAAAATAGATAATCATGATCACACAACCTCAATAGTTCATTACACTTCATTGCACTCCAGGCTTTGGCTAACTGTTCCACTGGACTTCAGAGACATCACTCTTTATTGCGTTTCATTTTGTTACACCACAGAGAGATTAGGCTGAGGTAATATTGGTCTTTCCAATTAATATCAGCAACAAGTCTCACTTTTATTTGTCTTTGGGGCTTTTAGAACACAAAATGTGTTAAAATAATGGAGAAATAATGTTCTTTACGTGACTATGAACACAGCCATTATATTTCAGTGTTACTTTTCATACTGTACATCTAGTCCCGTCAGCTAACCACACTGCCCCAGACTTGAAGCACTTGCTCTTTTCAAAAGGCTTTGATTACAGCAGTGTAGGTGCCAGGGACATAAACTCCTTAAAGATATTATGTTACATTCCTAGATCCCCAATGGTAAGAAAAATATACCTCCTGAGAGAACCAGGAAGCGTGTTTCCTGTTTCCTGTCTGCCCCCTACTGAACAGGAAGTGAATTAGACCCTGCCATGCCAAGCACAGGAGGGAGGGAGTCTCACCCGACGGTGGGAGTGTTTGTTATTATGGGATTCGAATGGCAGCACGGACTGATATCAGAGCTTAAGCATTGTGGAGATTCGATCAAAGCAATAACATGTCCATAGAAACTGAGAGTGTAGGAAAATGTTATTTTGTTCCTACACCCACACTTTTTAAATGGCAGGCATGCCATGAAAAGTGAAAATGTAAACGGTCTTAGATTTCCTTTGAGTCAGCTTGCTGTGTGCTGGATTTGCCTTTTGCACTATTCAAATCAGTAAATGTTTAACTGGCTGAATCTGTGTGGTTATTGTTTTGGTTCATTCAAGAGAGGCAAATTGATCTTTCATGCTGTATTTTATAATCATTTAAAATCCCAAATCAAGCATGATATGGCCTTCAATATGTCAGTTTTATATTGGTGTTTGTGAAGCACTTTTGTTTTTGCTGCCATGTTGTGGCAGCAAGATTATGACTCAGAATGAAACTGAAGGGGTCAAAGCTATGGCAGAGAGATTTGTAAGTGTCAGCGTATAATGATAATAATATTCTGTGGGAATAATACAGGAGAGTAATACGAAGTGAGACTCAAATATGACACAGAGCAAGGCGAAGCACTGCCTTTGTTGCTGCTCCACAACTTTTAACTGTTACCATGACTCCTGCTGCCGCTACTAGGGATAATAATCATTAACATCGTCATTCTGATCTTCCTGAAGCATGTTATCCAAACTTGTGCTGGCCAAGAGGAAATTTTATCCTTTAACCCTGGAACTATTCACTTCCTTACACAACCCATTTAATAACAGGACCAAAAGTTTTCTTCAGTGTCCAAATGAGAACACCAGAATCACATCACCCCTATATTCTGTCAATTCCCCCTGGGGCCGTAACACGTACAATTGCCTCTGTTAGCATCGTAATGCTCTGCAGTCCAAGAGGAAACAGGAAAAAAAGACAACATGCAGCTGCATAAATATCCATTGGAATTCATTTTTAATTGCCTCTTTTTCCTTCAAACGTAACGCTGTCAGAAATTTCAATTTAACTGCAGAGGTTTGAAAACAAAAACAACTAAAGAGGCTAGAAGGAGCTTCAGAAGCCTTTGGGAGCAGTCTGCCGTTTCCTTTGCTTTAAGGAGCATGACCATGAGGACTGAGGGCTCAAGCAGTCTCCTGCAACAAGCCTGAAACAAAGTTTAACTTCTTTCGTTTCAAGTCTGCTCTGTAACATTTGCTTTGAGGATTAGACGAGTTTCTTAGATGTCTTTTATTTATATTGGAAGCTACATATTTTAACAAGGCAGTAAACTGGAGGTTGTGCAGGTTTTCACAGAAGCACTTGATGTTTCAGTCGTGTTACCCGTTGTGGTTTATTGTGTAGGTGGTACGGTGTAGTATCAGGTTGGGAACATGATTTTTTTTTTTTAAGTGTTTCTGTTTTGGCTCTCAACCACGTTGCATAACCTTGCTGCTGGGACACTGGTGGTCTTTCTTTCTCCCTTCTCAACTTGCCAAGCAAAATATTGTCCAAAGCTTAGTGTTTTTATCTACCTCAATGTTTTCCCACCATTACAGCTAAAAAAAATATTTCTCACTGGGGTCCCGAAGTGTACCGTTGGCATTGGTTAACATTTGTCGCCATGTTATTTTCCCTAAACACTCTCAGAACTGTAAATTATGAAGTCATGGGAGATGACTGGCACTCTCGGGCACCATGTGTGTTTCTTTGGCTGCAAATTAATAAGCTGAATTAACTAAAAACATATTGCAGAAGCCGCCAGCGTGTTATTGAATAGCTTTATTAGCCCTCAACATTTGCTGCCTCACACTCCATCCCTGTTGTGCGAGTGTAAGCGTGCAGAGAGCCAAGTGAATTAGCCACCATTGTTTTATTTCCCTCACAACTACAAGGCAGCAGTGAATGCTGGGAAGGCTCTGAGGGATTTGGTGTGATTTGATTCTCCGCCTTTCCCGAGGAGGCAACGCTCTTATTGAATCGGCTCCATTACATTTCATCTCCACCGGGGGAATAAGGGGGCCTCAGAGGGAGCGAACGCGGTCGTGTTGTATCACAAACACACCAGAAACAGCGATGCAGACAAACAAACAGACAGACAGCCGTCGCCTTGCAGCTTCTCACAGACTGATAAGATGGTGTGTGTGTGTGTGTGTGTGTGTGTGTGTGTGTGTTCACTTGTGTGCATGCATTTGCACTTGACTTCATGTATGCTGTGTGCACACATTGTTTGATAGTCTGTATCTGTGCTGGTGTTTGTGTCGTTCTTTACTATGCTTCGATGCAGGTGCTTCTCTTCCTTTGTTGGTTTTTTGTTCATGTGGACATGTGTATTTGCTGGAAATGTGGAGCAGTGAGAGTGATAAGTCAAAGGTGGTGTGTGTGCATGTCTGAGCCACAGATAGAGTACGGTGGCACATATGCTGCTGCACACACAACGCTGGTGCCTTCTGTAAGATTCTGTAAGGATCTCTGTTGACAGTGGATGAAACAAGTGCTAGATTAACCAGCAAGCTGCCCCGGGACAAAAATACGCTGTGGGCCCCTGTAGACTCTGCGTTCCTGCCACTTTTCTGTGCGTTGTGTATGTATGT